GGGGGGGGGGGGGGGTACTCATAGTCGTGCATGCCTTAGTCGATAGACAATTGACCTCTCATCCCTACGAAGCCGGGACGGAGCACGCCGGGTTCTCACCGGACCAGGCTCTCACGTCACCAAGCAGGGGGGGTAACGAGGAGGGAGAGAAAAAAACAGAGGTGGCAGCAGCAGCTTAGGCAGAGCTGCAAATTCGGGAAAGTGAATGGGATGACGAATCATATTTGGACCAGGTGGAGCAGAAAGGTGGTTACAAGGGTCACGGGGGTTCAGCCACGCAAAAGATGATTAAATAATTCATTAGGGGTCCCAAGAACAACACTTGGAGTGGGGTGAGCCCCCCCGCCCCCCCCCCCCCGTCCCGAACCCGGAAGATAAAAACTCCTTACGGAACAAAGAGGCACACAACGCTAAAGAACTCAACAGCTCTTGATGCACTCTCTCATCCGACTCGATCCAAAGCAGAAAACTTCCCAGCAACACGATGACATCCAACGTCTAATGTATACCTTACCTCCTTGGGCAAGATGTGAAGGTCCCGCATGGCGAATATTAGCTGCAGCAGTGGAAGCCAGCCTGCGAAGAAAAAAAGTGTCGAACGGCGGGAGTTGAGGGACAGAAACGGGAGGGCAAAGATTAGTCACGATTTCCTTCCCTTTAGTCCCTCTCTCCAAGAACCACCAATGGGCGGTGCGTGTTCCAAAAACCAAGGACGGGGAATCTTTTGTGCCATGGCACTTCTTCCGTCGTGGGATGAACTTGAACACGAACAAACAAATGAGCAAAAAAAAAAGGCGCACGCACAATAAAGGCTGGAGCCGTGTCAGCGCTTGGCGAACAGCCACACACACATACACACACACACACACAAGAGGCGGTGTATGAGCGCTGTGCTCTGTCTCACCCTCTCTCATGTGATCGCCCGACCGATGAGCGATCCCGAACGCCGCCACGGCCGCCGTTCGCGCGGCAGGGTTTCCGCTAATGAGTCGTTCCACACCGCCGGTCCCCGTCGCCGCCGAAACCCCTTCGGCGGCATCGGGGTCGCTGTTATCGCCGTCGCCGTCGTCATCGTCATGGCTGCTACCACTGTCACTGTTGGTGCGCCGTCCTGGAGGTCTGATTGGCCCGACCAGCCCGGTGAACCGGCACAAGAGAAGGATCACCTTGTCGAAGGCGTTCTGTTTCCAGGGGGGTGGGGGGGTGGGGGGGAAGGTTTCATCGCACACAGATGTTGGATATATCGTGTCTAAATGTTCCACCATGAACAACGGCGTGAGCTACAAAAACAGTATAGTATCCGGTCATACATCGATGGGAGCGCTACTTGGCGTTGCTTCGGTCGCATCGTACGCATCGCAGTGCCCGTATTTTGCATGAACACCAATTGATTTTTCCCTCCACACAAAACACCCTTTGTGTTGTGGGCGGCACCACGAAGCAAGGGCGACACACCACACCCCATTGAGATGGATGGTCCTCGAGGGAATCCCTACGACGAGAACAACGACAACACCTCCCTCAACCGACTACTGCTGCCGTCAAGACACTTTGTGCTCATGACCGCGGCCAACTGTATCGTCGCATGTGATTCTTCGATATCAAATAACGGCTACGCGTTCACATTTGCAAAACAACGCGGAACACCGCTCGTTGGTTGGTCCGTAAAAAAAATAATGGGGCACGAGCACCCAGTGGCCCAAAAAAATCAACGCACACACCACGCAGCATTTTTTCATGCGTCCTTTTCTGGCTACTCTAGCGGTGATCACCTGGAGACCAGGATGGTGACCGCAAAGCTTCGCAAGGATCAGGAACAGGTCAACGGACGCTCCCAAAGCCGACGCGTCTCGCCCTTGCTGTGCCATCGGATATACAGCAGTAGCGGCGAAAAACAAACGCACAATACAAGTCGCAAAATCAGCCCGCTACATACATGGATGAGGCAATCAACTAGGATAACATCACACCGCAAGACGCACGCGCCGGGCCACGACAAACCAACCTGCCACACGCCACGCATGAACGCAATGTACAGGAACTGTGCGCGAGAGCGACATCTGTACTGTAATACAAGATAATGGTAGTCCCTGCCCTAGGCCGTATGAGCAAGGCCGGTGCCGCCCTGTACACGAGGCCAGTGAAATCGCGTGGCACAGATGGATGGAGATTGAAGTCGTCTCATACTCTCTGAATGGTGCTGCTGCCGGGTTCCCGGTGTATAAGGCCGGCCAATTCCTTCGGCGCTGTGCGGCTTTCTTGTACAGGGCCCGCTACTGCTGTGAGTCAAACGCCTAAGTGGCTCTCTCTGCTGCGCCACCCGCAAAGGTAGAGGGTTGCTTTCCATCCAGGACAGTCACCACAACCGACCAATCAGAATGCGCCACCAAGGACCCGAGAGGCAGTTAGGACCTAACCTCAGCAAAAAGACAAAACCCGTCGCGCACAGCTAGTGAGTCTACGTAGATCGCGATCGGCGAGAGAGACAACGAAAAACATTCAGGACATGGAGCAATATCAGCAACAAAACATTGGTGTATCTAGATTTGTACGTAGAGATCACGATCGAGGGGTATTTCCACGTGGTGCGGGGGGGGGAAGGGGGGGGGGGGTCTCACCAAAAAAAAAGAAACTCACCATCGTGGCGAACGCCGCTGAGGCAGCCTTGAGCACTGACGGCCAGCACGCCGAAATCACGTCTCGGTCGTACTCTTGCAGCTCCTCCTCCCCGACTCCCCGCCCCCCGCACGCCTCCACCTTACCTGAGGCGCTGCTGCTGGTGTTGCTGCTGCTGAACACCGCCATGGTGTTCATATCGCCGTATCGCCGGAGCAGGTCTTGCCATCTAAAGTACATCAAAACGCACCCACGCACGCAACCGTGAAATTAAGGGGTTGGGTGAGGGTGTTACCATGTAGGCCAAAGAATTCCCTGCTCGCGAGAGCTGGGGCGAGCTTGCGTGTGTTGGTCACCCTGCACCAAGCCCGGAGTCGAACAGCAAAAGTTGGTATTTTTAACTCATTCACGCGTGAAACTCGCGCAAATGAAAAAAAAGAAAGAACAATGGCTTTCCGGACCTGCGGGAAAAGGGCGAGCTCTCAGGTGCTGCCATGTCCTCGGAACAGCACTTCAAAAGCAGAACAAGAATACCAACGGGCCGGCAGTCCATCGGCTTCAAAACGTATCCGAGTTGAGCTAAGCATATCATCGGCCCGCCTATGTGCCGCCGCCGCTCGTGGCCTTCCCGATTCCACACCGGCTTGGCGCGCAAAGCTCTCTCTCTCTCTCTCTCTCTCTCTCTCTCTCTCTCTCTCTCTCTCTCTCTCTCTCTCTCTCTCTCTCTCTCTCTCTCTCTCTCTCTCTCTCTCTCTCTCTCTCTCTCCCTCTCTCTCTCTCTGTCCCTCTCTGCCTCTCTCTGTCCCTCTCTGTCTCCCTTACCCGTGGGCGGTGACAGCGTCGTCCGGCCCCCCGCCGGAGGTGGCGATGGGCTGCTCCTTGATGGACGTGTAGACGGACTCGAGGTAGTCGGCCGGCAGGTCGTGCCCGCCGCTGATGTCCCCGCCGTAGTTCTCGTTGTTGCGGACGAACGCGCCGCAGCTCATGCGTTTCTCGGGGCGGATGTTGGGATTGTGCAGGTCGGTGTTGAGCATGATCTGTCGCACCGGGAGGGCAAGCGAGGGGCGGGGAGTATACTCTAGCAAAACGTACCGTACGTTTGCGGGTGCAGTGATGAATTTACGGGAAGGGCCGCTGGAGCACTCTTGTCTAGGAGAGGAGGAGGAGGAGGGGGGTGGGTGGCGTGCTCATGTTTCGCACCCCTTCGGTGTTTGGCCATTGACCTGGGGAAGTGGGGGTACTCGTATTTCGCTTGCCTCGTCGTTTGACCATTGACCGATCGCCTCTCGCGAGACAGCGCGCAGCAGTTTCTACTCCTGCTAGACGCACTCGAAGTCATTCGTTCTTCTGTATGCATGTGCGGAACGCTGTAGCGTCCGAGGCGGGGGGGGGGGAGGGACGTCCTTACTACTCACCACGCTGAAACTTAGCAGATAGGCCACGTCCGCCGAAGCCAGCATCCCTCTCGCCGCCTCGACGCAGTCTCTGTGGACACGCTGAGCGAAGGCCTGCCCCGTGGGAAGAGAAAAAAAACACACACGTCAAGCGCAGCATTATCACTCGAGGTAGCAAGCGTGTGTAGATTACGAGTGTACGCCGAGATAACAGAAAGGCCTGCCGCAATACTTAGGACACCGTTAGATGATTTAATTACAAAACAAAATATTGAGCTGACCCTGCAGAGTTGCCCAGTGGGGACGACTCGTCCCATTGGTGTTCGAATCTACCTTTTGACTCCGTCGAGAAAGCCTCTTTCGAGCATGCGCAAGCCTGATCACAAAAAAAAGACACAGAACTTCTGACAAACAACAAAAACAGACTCTCGCGTACATACCCACGCCCAAGACACGGCCGGACAACAGCAAACTCACGTGCAAGATCCGGTCGATCTGCTGAGCCTCCCCCGGGAGCCTGAACGCCCCGAGAAACATCCGCAGCGAGGCGAGGATCCCCTGCCCCCGGAAGTCGAAGGTGTCCACGAACGCCTCCAGCACCTCCGCGTGGAACTCCTCCGTGTCTCCTTGGTAAACGGCCGCGGCTGCTCCCCTGGCGCTAACCCCGCCAAGCGTTCGCCCCCCCCCTCCTCCCTCCTTCGACGGCGGCGAGACCGCTTCCGCCACCGCTGCTACGGCAACGGTGCCCTCCGGAATGCTGCCGCCGCCGCCGCCGCCGCCGCGGCCGTTGACCCTCTTCGCCCCCGCCTCTCCCAGGTACGCGCCCACGGCTGCCTTATCCAGGCCTGGCGTCGCCCGCAAAAACGCCGCAACCTCCTTGGCATCCAACGACGGCTGCTGCTGCTGCTGCTGCTGCTGCTGCTGTTGCCGAAACAATCCTTCTCGCTGAAGGAGCTTGAGCCCCTCCCTCGGCTTCTTCGCGAACGCCCGCGCTCCCCGCGTCAGCGCGGCCTTGCGCCGACGCGCTTCGCGGCAGCGGGAGGGCGACGGCAGACGACCGTTGCTTGGTGCACCGGCGGCTGTCGCGGCTGCTGCCGTTGCTGCTACTGCTGCTTCTGCTGCAGGCAGGGCCGAGGGAGGCGTCCCTAAGACACTTTCAGCAAGCGTGCCCGAATCTGTCGCTGATGCCGCCAGTCCTCCTCCTTCTCCCCCCATTGCTGCTCCGATTCCTCCTCCTCCTCCTCCTCCTCCTATTCGTCCTTGTTCGCTGTCTCCCGGTCCACCATCGACGACACGAGGGCCGCCGCAGTCTCCGCCACCGCCGCTCGCCGTCACCGCGGCGGCAGCAGCAGCAGCAGCAGCGGTGGCGCACCGCTCGTGAAGGCGCCGCAGGGCGGCTGTCAGGGCGGCCACGCAGGCGGCCCGAGCGCCTGACAGCCGGTCCGGTCCCGCGTAGGCGCCGTCCGCCAGGGCCGCCACCAGCATCTCGGTCAGGTTGGACCGCTGCAAAAGCGGGGGGGGCACACGCGCGAAGTGGAGGGTAGGGTCACCGCCAACCCCCCCAAGCAAACGACGGGCCGCGGAGACACGCGGGGGGAGACAGAGAGAGAGAGAATAAAAAAAAGCGCGATTGAAACACCGGGGACATCATGAAGAACGTTGTAGCAGAACGGCGACGACACCCGTCTTCCAACAACAAGAAAATGAGGAGGAGGCGGAGGACGAGAAGAAAATAAAAACAGGGCGCCAAAGCAGAGGAAAACTTGCCTGCGTGTCGCAGTCGTAGTTAACGTACATCTCCACGAGAAACGTCGGCTCCGCAAGGAAGTCACAAAGACATTCCAAAGTCATCTGCGAGAACGACAATAACCGGAACCGCGGGGCCGGGTGGAAGGGGAGCAGGGGGGTATTTGATCATTTATTGATTTTCGTCGATTTTCGTTGCCGAAAAACAACAAGCGTTCAACACAAGAGTAAGGTTTCGAAGCGCAGAAGCTTCCATCGAAGCGCGTGAAAGGCGACCGGGCTGCCCAATGCCTGGACACCGATTTCCCAACGCGAGGAAAAAGCGTGTAAGAGAGTGATCACCGAGGAGCGCAAACCGACAAAAAAAAAACGACGAAAAAAAAGCAACAGGTTTCCCAAATGTGCTCGAAAAGAGCAGCGTCAAAAAATATCCACAGCCTCACAAACACAAAAAAAAAAAAATACACGCAAGACCGCCCTACCTCGAGCTCCCTATCCCTGAAAACGCGGCCACCCCGCGCGGCTGCCGCACCCACCCCCGACGACCCCGCCGCCGCTTCCCGAGAGAACTGCTCGCGCGGCTGCGGCTGCTGCTGCTGCCCCGGCCCCGCCGCCGCCGCCGCCGCCGCCGCCGCCCCCGCGGCGCCACCGGCACCTTGTTCTTCTTGCGCTTGACGGAGGTCGTCCTCGCCCTCTTCCTTGAGCTGCGACAAAGCCCGCAGGAACGTTGCCCCGAACAGGAGTTCCAGCTGTACCTATTGTTTGGCGGAGGCGTCGTCGGGGGTGGGTGGGTGGGTGGGTACTCATGTTTTGCACGCCGTACTTGTTAAGCCCATTGACCACACGTCCCAGTCTCGAGGGGACGAGGAATTGTTCCTTCCCGCAGCACTAATCGCTGATGATCAATCGTTGATTCCTACTTTACCAAGGGTAGACCAAAATTGTTTCCCTACATGTATCTTACATGTCCTACCGATATCACTTCCTCCTTTTTAGCCCACATGCTAAAATCCCAGAGGAGATGTCCGGGGGGGGGGGGGGGGGACCACATATCCCTAACGGGGGGGATTGTTTTGTGGCCCGGGGGGACCCCTGGGGGCCGCGAAAGGGGACCCACGGGGGCGGGGCCTGGCTGGGGACAAACCCCAAAAACCTCCCCAAAGAACGGGGGAAAAAAGAAACCTTCCTGCCCGGGGGGGGCCCCCTCCGAACGGGGGGGCGGGGCCCCCTCTCCCAGGGATCCCGCTTTTGTTTTGGGGGAAAAGGAACCCCCCTGGTCCGCCGCCTCCCCTAACCCAACCACCCAGGGGGAGCCACCCCTGAATATACCCCCCCCCCCCACACACCCTGGCCCTCCGCCTTAAGGGAGGGGAAGG